ATGTTAGTCAGTATAGATTCTGTTTGTTTTATGGTACAGTAATGTAGACAGTGCTTTAAAACAAAAGACTGTTTGCTTATCCATGGGTTATATACAACACAACAAAGTAGATATTTTTTACTTGGAACTCTCAATAATGGTTACTTAAAATAGCACAATTCTGCAGCTCTCATAAATCTGATTAGAAATCTATTATTTTTGCAGACATCAGTGTGTCATTAGCTTTAAAATGAGGCATGTTTATACATCCCCATAGGTGTGTCCATTCATTCACAGTTTCATCTACCTTACAGAATTCTGTAGAAATGGTCACCATGTTAACATACAATAATTATGTATACAGAAGTTTTTTTTAGTATAATCTCTCGCCATCATAATTTTACATGCCTACCAACACTGTTGTAATTAATTTAGTTGAAATAAAGTATTCCTTTTTCTTATGTTATGTAGTGAAGCATTGAATTGTGAGGTATTGAAATTTGTTCCAGAAATTGTCATCAGACATTAATTAAACCCTGAAGCTTAATTACGTTCTACACATGATCATATTTTGAAATCTAATAGCTTGACAGTTATATAGTACACAATATCAGGTTACACTGTCCAGTATTTCTTCTGCTTGCAGATGTTACAGATAAAAAGAAATTATTGGATGGTCCCACAAGAGGAAATAAAAGGAAACGTACGGGGACACCCGTCATTTTACATTCCTATACAACCATTATGGTTCATCTGGCATTCACTGGTAGTAAAGCAAGTAGTCACACTCATCGGTGAGAAAAGGGGCACAAACCTCCTTCCTCAGCTCAGGGACCCTTGTCTTCCAAAATCCAGCCTAATAATCTAGTCAATTTTTGGAAGTGGAGGGTCATATCAAATAGACTTCATACTGAACTAAAATTTTGACAAAATTTATCCTTTAGCATGGAACTATTGTTATTATATTTTTGGTTTGCTGGATTGACTGAGTTTTTGAGTGCAGTGTATCTTCAATGTAATTTCTTATTCTCTTATATTTAAAAACCTTCAAGAGTCTGTGTAACCAATTGTTCATGATTCATTTATGGTTTTAACTTATCCTGTGTAAATGATACTAGTAGCATATGAAAATGTAAATGGATCTCACTGGTTTGGAAAAACAAGATTTGTATGCCAGTAAGATCAGTTATCAGATAAGACTTGCAGAGTTGCATTCCGTCTACATTTCTTGGGATATTTCTTCTCCTGTCTTGTGTTTTTGTTGCTATTGGCTTGCTGATGGTTCTCAGTGAACTCATCTGTTTCCTGAATAACAGCTTTAGTTTCAACATTATCATCAGTGTTACTGTAATCTTCTGCCCCAAAATTTTTAACTCTGCCTGATTCAGTCTTGGAGAATTTGAATGTTGTTTTCATTCATTCCACTTCAGTATCATCTGTACAAAATTTTGTTCTATTGAAGTGGTGGTCAGATCATTTCTGGTGACACTTTATTATATCTGTTAGTCAGATATTCCCTCTAATACAGACACAGAGTTTTTTCAAGTTCAGTAGCAAATGATGCAGACTCCATATTTAGTATCACTGATCACATGAAAAGTTTGTGATCATTCAACTTTATGCAATTTATAATTTGTCAGTGGGTTGAATGATACTTGTGGTATTGGGTAGAAACCACACAAGTCCAAAAACCCAGTAATCCATATAGTAAAATTAACATGATTTTGGACATGGAGAATTTTAGATAACTGTATGGGAGTTGTGAGTCCAAATTACAAGTGGATACTTCATTACTATTGTATGTCATAAGATCATCATTAGGGAAAAAAGGAAGTTCTCATGCTAAAATTACTGCTGAAATCTATATATTTTCATGTATTTTATGTGTTATTTTGGTATCTACTTCATCTTGGCATCATCTTTTGTGTTTTTGTTTACTGATGTGATTTTTCTGAATAGTTCAGTACACACACTTTCAAAGTATTTTAATTCTATATTTACCGCACTGTGCTCAAAATATTTTCAGGTAAGAATGATGAAATGTTACTGACTATATATATATCTTGCATGCTTGGAGTTAAATGAGATTGGTTGTGTTAACAAATTTGCACTATGAGTTGTTAAAATGATATTAACACGTGCTAGAGTTATATCTCATCTAACCAAGGATTGCCGGCGCTGAACATTGGAAACTCCCCCTTGTTGACTGGTGGTATAAGCTATACAGCTACAATGCAAATTTTCAAGAGCACCTTGAGATGAAATTAGCAGTCCTTGGTCACATGAATGTAATTATAATTGCATTGCCATAGAGGAGCAAGGAGGGAGGTATTGTGTATTTCTCTGGATTTAATTCAGAGCCTGGTCTTCTGTAAGTCAAAGGAAATGTGTTGTTTTACTTATATTACAAACAATTTACACTCTGGGTTCACAATTTAGTGCGGTAACTGACATATTTACATTTTCAAGAGTCTGTTCAGAACAAATACTAAAACATCTAATTCCTTAATTTGGAGTGTATTGTATGTCTCTTTAACCAAATGTAGCATTTTAAGATGTTATATGTCAACTGTAGAAATAATTTCCAGACTAACATTGTTTTGAGGTAACAGTAAGGTTGGATATTATATGGCTACTATTTTACATGGTTTTGGATTGTATAGAAACATTAATCAAAAATTTTCTCATGAAATTAATTTCTTTATGTGACTGAAGATTGTGTCTGACAAACATGAAATACAAATATGTGTTGAATTATAAGTGTGTATGTAGTTTGATGATCTCTGTGAAATTATTATAATTGTATTGGTTTTGTTGTTATTTGGAAAACAGTATAATATGCATGTTAAAGGGATGAAAACATACTTTAAGCAGTTACAAGTGGCCATGTTAATATTACTTATTTTGTAGAAATGTACACATTTGTAGTCTTTCCCTTCTAAGTGCTTTTATGTTTAACTGTTTGAAGTAGATTTCTGATTCAACTCTATCAGATAACTTCAAGAATTAAAATAAAAAGTCAAATCAAATTAATATACATTTGTGAAACATATTATAAGCAACAAAAATTTAAGGCTTAATTTGTATTGATTTTTCTAAAATATAATATATAAATTACAAAGCATCATTACAGACATGTGAGTAACTGGCAAGAATTTCAGGGAACTGGTCTTATAATTGAAGGTGCATCAAGTTCACCGATGCTTTCTTTTTGCTCCACTGGCAAGTTGAGTTTTTATGGAGTAGATTTATCATTGTTTGATCGCAAAGCAATTGCTATACAAGCAGCTGGTTGGACCCTGACATGCCACATCTGTGCAGGGGTAGCATTTGGTGAATGTAGCTTTAGCTTGACAGTAAGCTGTCGTAGTGGTAATAACCTTTAGGAATTGTAATGAAAACCCACCAGGACTGAAAGTGTTGCTGTCCTCAGTATACATGCAGAACAGACTTGGTGGAATTTCAAGTCTTAGCACCAATGTCATTCAGTATCTTTTCTATTAGTACAGTTCATTTCCTGTACGGCGTTTTGTCCAGCCGTGGCCCTGTTGTCTTTACCTAATTGTCCAGGTAGTGTATATTTTATCTGTTGGGAACCGGTTCGCTTAGAAACTTGCATTGAAATTTTCTGCAACATTTTCTGGCAGACTAATATTTGAAATATAGTTGCGATAAATAGACACACTGTTTAATAATATACCCTGCTTAAACCGTGTTGTACAGCGCTGAGTGGTTGATTGAGAAATGCATTAACAGAAACAGACAAATATGATGATTCATGTGGTGACATTTAATTCCATTATGGAAAGTTGGAAAAAAAAAATGCATATATTGGGACCATCAAATACAATTTAATATTTCAGTAGAAATTGGTGTAGTCATTTGTAACCTAATCCTATTATGGCCTATATGCCTTGATGATATGGCATGGCTACTCTTTTCTTTCAACATTTGTACATTTCAGTAATAAATTAATGCGCACAAAGCATTTAATTACATAATTTTATAATTATTAAAATATATTTTCCAAAAAATGCATCCTTATAAATATACTTATAATTTTGTTTTTCATTGCTGAGTTGCAGGTGAAGAAGTGTGTCGACTGATTCGTGGTCTCAGATCCGCTGAGGTTAAGAAGCTCATTTAGTGACTTTAAACTGGAAAGTACTTGAGTCTAACTTTGATAGAGACATTTCCTCCATATTGCCATGATTGCTTTTTAGAGTATAAGTTTTTAGAATGGAATTACAACATGAAGGTGAGTTTGTTGTTGAGGGAGGAGAAGTTTTATTATCTTGACTCTAAACACTGCTTATTTAATTATTTTATGTTCTACCATGTTGACAGTACAGATTAAAAATTCTGCTTCGATAATGATTTAAATCATCTTGTATCAGCTACAATGATTGGAGTCACTGCTTGACCCAGATTCTCAGGTCATTTAAATGTTGATTTACGTAAACTTGCTGTCAACATGGTTCCATTCCCACGTCTCCACTTCTTCATGCCTGGTTTTGCTCCTCCCATGCCGGCCAACAGTACCGAGTTCTCACGGTATCAGAACTTGCCCAACAGATATTTGATGTGAAGAACATGATGGCTGCCAGTGATCCTAGGAATGGTAGTTACCTCACTGTCACTGTTGTATTCTGAGTGCACATGTCCATGAAGGAGGTTGATGAACGTACGTTACAAGTGCAGAATAAAAACAGCAGTTACTCTGTTGAGTGGATCCTAAACAAAATGACTGTTATAAGATCTCTGACACTTCTATTGATTACTCCACTGCCAGGCCACAGACATGTTCAGACGCAAAGCATACTTTCACTGGTACATGTGTTTAGTTTGTGCCTGCATGAGGATGTTTGGAACTAAATGACAATACACAACTGATGAAAATGCCAATTCTATATTGTGTTAAGAGAAGTAAATTTTAATAACTTAGTTAATGTAAGAATGTTTTGGTATTGAATTTGCAACATGAAGATGGCAATCTTCTGGGTTGTTGTGCCGTGTAGTCAGGTGGACATCTACTAGACTACATGGCGCAACAACCCAGAAGACAGCCATCTTCAGACTCACCGCCATGAAAACCTCAAATCCTACATAAATTTGTAACATAGTTAGCTTTGAAAGTTTATCTCACAATCTGTGTTACTTGTTACATTTTTGCTGGTTAAGCCCTCACCGATGGGAACAACTTAAAAGGAACCTTGGAATGGGTAGAGGAGATTTAAACCCGATATCTGGTCTAGTGGTCAGAAGACTAGCCTTGTAATCCTGGGGTCCCGGGTTCAATTCCCAGTGGTGCTCAGATTTATAACTTGTGTTGGGCAAGACCGTGGTCTAGGTATCACGGAGTTTTCCTCCGGGAGCTCCCCGGTTTCTCCGAGGCATCCCAACAATTACTCCATTCACACACACAGAAGAAGGCAATGGCAAACCACTTCTGGATCATCTGCGAAGAATGTATATATGTATGAGCAGGTCCCTGACAACCTGAAGAGGATGGAAGGATCCTGTTCATAATATATGGACCTGTCGTCAGAAAGAACACTAATAATAATAAAACAAATAATCTGTCATCTATACCATGTACAGAGGTAGGCTTTGTGGGATGAAACTGAGATATATGGAAGGAAGTCTGAAATGGAGAATTTGAAATTTTGTTCTCTTCCCCAGTATTGTCGGGGTCGTTAAGTCGAGAAAAATGAGATGGGCTGGGCATGGATGGGGCAAGAGGTGTGCACTGGGTATTGGTTGGGTAGTAGCAAAGAATTGAACCAGGAACCTCTGAGGTACATATGAGCCATGTTAACATTTGAAAGAATCTACACAGTCAGCTTGTAGAGGAGGCCTTCGACTGAGACCGTGTCAAAGGCTTTGTCCACGTCCAAGAAAACCGCCCCAGTTAGCCGCCTCTCATCAAAGTTCCTGTTTACCCTTTCAACGAGACGAGCCAGCTGCAGCTTCGTGTTGTGCCTACGCCGGAACCTAAACTGCTCGTCGCGCAGCAGTCCGCGTTCGTTCGCCTCGTGTAGGACCCTAGTTAATAGGATCTTACAGAGCTTTCCGACCGTGTAAAGAAGACTGGTCGGTCTGTAGGAACAAGGTAGCGTGGGGTCTTTGCCCGGTTTCAGTATGGACACCACGCGAGCGTTTTTTCACGCCGAGGGGAAATACTGCCTGCGGAGGACCGCGTTGAACACTTTCGTGAGGTAGGTTATCGTGGAAGATGTCTCAGGACCCTGTTCGGTAAACCGTTGGGGCCCGGAACCTTCCAACTTCTTGAGTCTCTTAATAGCCTGAAGGACCTCCGAGGGTCTGGTTAATTTCGATTCACTTGACGTGGCATACTCGTATGCTCGCATCGCCTCGTTAACCATGTCAATAAATGTCGGGTCCGACGGATCGTCCACCAGCTGAAACTGGACCTCAAGGTTGTCGGCCAGGGCTTC